TCTCATTTATTTGGTTGTATCCCTGCCCACGAAGCCAGGATTCAATCCTGGGTCATACAGCTCAGCTGGTTCGCAGCTTAAATACAAGTCTGACATCAATTTTTAGGTACTGGATAATCCAACCAATCAACAGATCCCAAAAAGGATATGGCATCTTGAACTCAACTCTATAATAGGGAAAAACTTCTGGGAACTTTGATAGCCACACTCATTATAGTAGGAATTTTGTTTTATTTATTTATTTATATTTATTGCTAGGCCATACACATGAAGGAACTAAAGCAAAGTAGCATGCACTTCGTGTTCCTCTTAAGATAGAACTAATGTAGTCCATTCAAAGTTCTATTGGTTATTCCTATAATTCTTTATGTTCCTATTGGTTGACTGTGTTACTAAAAAAGACATGTTTACATTCTCAAGTTGTAAATATAATTCAAAACATCTGTTTTAGATTCCAACCCCTTTTAAGACTACTGTTTAGTTTGTACTTGCCATACAAAAGAACTGCGAAACAGGAAGACTACAAAACAAGAACGGAATTCAAAATTTGCAGTTTCAACTATTACCTCTTCACTTATAAGTATCAAGCTCAACATTGGTCTGCTAAGGCTCCACTGGTTGCCACAGTCCTCAAATAGGACAATCTCAAAGAGGGTTTTCAATATCTAGTTAAGTAACAAAATAAATAATCAGCAATAACAAAAAGGAGAGAGAGAGAGAGAGAGAGAGAGAGAGAGAGACAGAGATGGCATGTATATCAAGAATTTAGATAAATATGGCATGAATATTAACAAAGAAGAACAAAAAATATTAAAAGCAAGACACATACAATTTTTCACTCATCAGTGAACAAAATGAAGTGCTTCTAAATTTTTGTGTGATCAGATGAGATGTATCAAAGGAAATTTGGATCCAAATCACACATTTATGAAAGAAATTTGTGTGATTAGATGAGATGAATCAATGGTTTTTTGTTACATTTAAAAACCATAAAATATCGTTCCTCCATAAAGAATGCCCATCTAATGCATTCTACCAAAGGTCAAAATGATGTGTGTAATCCCTCGTGATATTGTTCTGAAAATTATTGTGCCAAGAAAAAGAGAAGGAAAAATAAGAACAATTTCTCATTTCACAAAGGATCATCTCGCATAAAGTGAGCCAAGCACATTATACAAAAGTATTGAAAATTATAAATAAAATGTCACCAATGTAAACAATATTGCATCACCTCCAATTTATTATCATTTATCATAATTATATTTGATATGACACCATTCACTGTCGGCATTATGACAAACCAAACCCTATGGTTCTCAATTGTCATTAGAATATTTAAGCTGATAATATGCATTTCAAATGAAGAGAAATCAGTTAACTACTTATAAAAAAAAGAAGAAAAAGAAGAAGCAACTTACTTCAGGAAACACACTAGGGCGACCTGCAACATGCCGAGCAAGATTAAGAGCAGCTGGTGTAGTGGGGGACTCTCTAACTGCTATGTGCTTGAAATAACAAGTAGCCAAATTATCAATGCAAATGCACACTGACATAACAAATTCAAAGAATTATTTAACGGAAAAACACCTCAAGGGAGCTGCAGTACTCTTGTATCATATCATTACAAGAATGATTCTGTATGTTAAGAAAATTAAGAATGAAGTGCCTAAGTAAACACTCTCATAACACAATGGAAGGGTAAAAGCAATGTGAGAAGGGTTTCTAGGACCTAGAGAGAAGGAAAAAAAAAAAATATATATATATAATATTTTAGTTTCGTCCAGCACGAAAAAAAAAAAAATGAGAACAAAATGTCAAGAGAGATAACAAACAAACCTGTGATATCATATTTACATCCAGTACTCTTGGGGAAAATCTGAGTTTTTGATAGTGAAAATCCAAAACAGTAAGTACAGTACTATCACACACACAAAAAAAAAAGCTTGCGCATCTGTTCTCCTAATTGAGGTGCATATTACATATATATATTGAATTAACACAAAAATACAAAAGAGGTAGAAAAGATACATATACATGTGGAACACATTGATATAGCAGAATCACGTGGTCCTGCAAATTAAACTCACTTAGTCTTGCAATCAGCAAGTTCAGATCATGATGAATAGACAAGCCAACAGAACAACCAATAGGTTCATGATGTGGCAAGCTAGCTCACCTCAGAAAATACAGAAAAAAGTTTACCAATAAATTGTTAAACCCTTTTCACCCTAATGTTGAATCATTTGTGAAACTCTCTACAATATTACAATTTTGGGATAACTAGGAGTCTGAATCTGAATCAATAAATACAGCAACTTGTGCAACAAATGCATAGATTCAAAAATTAAGATCAATTACAGAATCTGATTCAATTCAGAACAGATCACTAGACCATGATCAATTCCAAATAGTTGGGATAACTAGGAATCATGAACATGAATATTCCACATAGTAATCACAAAACGTGCTTTGAAGATTCAGATAAAAAAATAAATAACAATATTGAATCTTGCAAGACTAGCAACAACCCAAATCGCTATTCTACCTAACATGATCTGAAAGAAGACAAATAGGAAAAGTGAAGTGAAAAGTGAAAAGAAGAACAAAAAAAAAAAGTCATCAAAAAAGAAAGAAGATAGATGCAAAGATAGAACCGAATCAAATGGATGATGATACTCACAGCCCACAACGGCAAAGCAGGAGCTCGGCCAGTGATGATCAGCCAAACCCAACCATACCCAACAAAGTAACAGTCAAAACCCACATAGATAGAAATCAGAATCGCACAAAAAAACAAAAATCAAAAAATCAAAACCATTTTTTAACAAAGAAAAACAGAGATTGAGCTGATTGGAACCTCGTTGAACGATGAAATCGTTGGTGAAGTAACAGAGGACAACCCAGACACCAACGCTGCACATTTTCTGGTCCCAGCAATTGGTGAAGAAGCTTTGAAGAAGCAGCTTCAGAGCTCATAACTCGAACCAAAATTCGTCGCTCGTCGCTCGCCTCCGTGAGAGAGAGAGAGAGAGAGAGAGAGAGAGAGAGAGAGACGTGTTGTTTCGAAACAGGGGCTCTGCAAACCTGAAAGGAAATGAAAAAGGGGGGGGAAAGACGGTAAAAAGGGAGGAAATTAGTTTGGGCAGCCGGGTCAGTGAAAAAAAGGGGGAAACTTTTTTTCATTTTTTTTAATGAATTTTTTTTTATTTGGTAGAAGTAGGGGTAATATTTCAATGAAAAATATTTTTTGTTAAAATAAAATTATTTTTTATGGTCAATTAAAAATATTTTTTTGTGGCCGATTTTTTTTTTATACTAAAAATCAAGAACTAATTTTTTGTGGTAGATGAGAGAAAGCGACAGTAGTGGTGAAGGTGGTGGATATGAGGTGCTGGTGGTGGTGGTGGTGATGGCGAAGGAGATTAGTGGTAAAGTTGTGGTAGTGGTAAAGGAGATAGAGTGGCGGTGGTAGATGAGAGGTAATAGTAGTAGTAGAGAGTGAGATAGAGAGTGAGAGACAGAAAAAGAGACAAAGAGAGAGGAGAGATGAATGAGAGAGACAGAGAGAGAGATCGAAAGAAGAGAGATGAGCGAGAGAGATATAGAGAGATGAGAGATGAACGAGAGAGACAGATAGAGAGAAGAGAGATGAGCGAGAAAGACATAGAAAGAAGAGAGATGAACGAGAGAGATAGAGAGAGAGATGAATTCAATAATAGACGCCTGTTGGCATTCCAGCCTTCCTTCTCCTTTCAGAGCCTATCCGAAAGAGAATCCAATACTTCTTGGTCGTGAATATCTGAACTGGTTGTTCGTTGTTCAAGAATTCTTGTTTAGGCAGTTCATACCATCCATACATAGTGTTTTGATCTAAGTTTTCAATTCTTCCATGTTTCAGCAGTTATTTTCAATTAAAAAAAAATTTATGTTATTTTTTGAATTGAATTTTAAAAAGAGTTTTGTTATGAATGCTATTTTTTGTTAATAATTAATTTTTTAAATTGAATTTTAAAAATAATTTGATTATGAGTGTTATTTTTTGTTAATAATTAATTTTTTGAATTGAATTTTAAAAAGAGTTTGGTTATAAGTGTTGATCAGAAATTTCAATAGAGTTTTGAGTTATGTGTTTGGTTACGAGTTATAATTTTTTGAATTCAAAACTCATAACCAAACAAATTTTTTTATTTTACATGTCACATCAAACATTCAAAACTTAATTCAAAATTCATAACCAAACAATTTTTCTACACTCAAATCATAATTCCAAAACTCACAAACTCAAAATACAACTCTATTCTCAAATCAAATTTAGAAAATTCTACCACATGCTACCTAATTGATTTTATACCCTAAATCTTCAAAGATGAAAATATTTGAGTTAAAAAAATAAATATAATGGAGAAAAAAAATGAAGTGAACTAATTGATAATAAATGATATCATGAGTGCATGTTAATGGTGAAGATAATAAAAAAAATAATGTTTATATGTTAAAACTCTAAATCCTATAAGAATGATGGTGAGTAAAAAAATTTTTTGTGAGTTCCAGAATAATCCTTCACATGGACTGTTGTTGAGATTCAACAAAGATAGTCCCATGAACCTGCAAGAGATAAATATGGTTGATGCCGCCCAACCGGGGTTACTGGTCGGGGACACTCTATTGATGAAGTTAGAATCCATGAATGAAGAATGTAGATCATAGATCAAGAATTGTAAAGAGTGTAGTGTGTGAAGTACAAGGGAAAAAACATACCTCTTGTGTATGGGGTTTCCTCCTTAGAATAGATGATATTTGTTTAGGATATTTTATCCCTATAATTAGGATATTTTTCCTCCTACAACTTTATACTTTTAAATGAATAAAATACATCTCATATCATCCTTAATAATTATTTTATTAAAAAAAATTATTAAAATATAAATTTAATTTATTAATAATATATCTTAAGAATATAAATAGTGTGTAAATAGAATCATAACCCAAGCCAAATTAATCCGACCATACTCACCCTTGATTTTGCGTCTATAGAACGCTCTCCCATTGCGACGCGTCATGTGCCCTTTCTACGAAGCTGTTCCAACTGTTCTCCCTGTATCTCCTCCTCTGTTTCTCTGTAAATCCATGTTGATTCTGTGCTCATACTTCTCTGGGTTTGACAAAGCTTTACACTCAAACTCAAAAGACTCCAATTTGGGAATTCGTAATTCACCTCCATTAATCTCCCAAACCTCTCTTCAATGGCTTCCGAACCCTCCTCTTCAATCTCCCAATACGCTTTCCACGTTTTCATCAGTTTCAGAGGCGAAGACACTCGCAAGAACTTCACCGATCACCTCTACACTGCCTTAGTCGGCGCTGGTTTGCGCACTTTTTGAGATGATGATGAGATCGAGAGAGGCGAAAACATCAAATTAGAGCTCGAAAGAGCGATCAAACAGTCGAGGAGTTCGGCCATTGTGTTGTCCAAAGACTTGCTTCTTCCGGCTAGTGCCTCGATGAATTTGTCATGATTGTTGAACGAAGGAGGACCGTTGGGCATGTCATTTTACCGGTTTTTTATGATGTCGATCCGTCAAATGTTCGGAAGCAAAGTGGGACTCTTGCTGAAGCATTTGAGAGGCATGAGGCAAAATTCAGGGCGGAAATTGATGAAAGAAAGAGGAAACAAGGGATGGAGAGGATGGGATTGTGGAGGAAAGCACTTGGAGAAGTTGCTGATTTGGGAGGTATGGTCTTGAAAAATCAAGCTGACATGTAATTTTTATCCTTTAATTTCTTTCTTTGGTATGATCAAACTGGTAATGTCTGTTTCAAATGTTCTAAGAAGTCATGTAGAAATGTAGCAATATGAAGCTGAATTTGGGTGTCTTGGGTAGGGAAATTGTTCGTCGGGAATCACAAAAGGAACCTGGAAAGCCCAGATGAGGATGCCTTCAATGTGTTGAGGGATAAAACTGTAAAAATTATGCTTCTCTCTCTCTCTTCATTGTAGTGACTATTTTTTCATTTTTTCTTTACCTAGGAACAGCAACAATTGAAGGCCTTAGAAGATATGCCAGCTAAGAGTGCAAGCGGTACACAATCCCAAAATGAAGATTTTCTTGCAAAACATACAATTTTTAACGAAGGCAATTCATTGAAGGGACGTTGCCAAAGCTTATTCTCTTTTCTCCGTGTTATTCCTGCCTTCACAGAATCATTTTCGGAATCAGATGAAGATGATTTGAAAACTGATGCATTTTCACAGATGCACAAATTAAGACTACTTCAGCTTAATAATATAAGACTCAGTGGCAGATATCAAAAATTTCCTAAGAAGTTAAGATGGTTGTGTTGGCATGGATTCCCTTTAAAATCTATACCAAATGATTTTACTTTGGATAGTCTGGTTGCCCTTGAGATGCAAAATAGTAGCTTAACTCTGGAAGAGAACCAAGGTATGATTCAATTTTTTTTAATCCTGTTTTTTGTTGATTTTATTATTATTATTATTATTATTATTATTATTATTTTGTTTTGGGATCCATATGAATTCTTGTAGTGACCGATTTCTTACTTTCTTATGACAGTTGCTCAGATCATTGAAAATCCTTTATCTCAGTTATTCAATTCCCTTGACTTCTCACAGCTCCCTAATCTTGAGAGACTGATCCTTAAATATTACATAAATTTGGTTGGGATTCACGAATCAATTGGGGAATTAGGGGCCCTTGTTTTGTTGAATCTTGAAGGCTGTAAAAATCTAAGCTTCCAAGGAAAGTTTTTCTGGTCAAATCCCTTGAACTCATTCTTGGTGGATGCTCAATGCTGGATGGGCTGCCCCTTGACCTGGGCAAGATGGAATCTTTGAACGTGCTTCATGCAGATGGAACAAATTGATTACTCACTCGATCATTCGATAGTTTAAACTGCGGTATGAACTTTATTGGCCTTCTTCATCATACTGGTTAGGAAGAATGCATCATGTGAACTGCAAATAATGTTGTCATGCTTAGGGGTGACCATGGTCCTGATTGGACCAGATTTGGGATAAAATCAGGACCAATCCGTTATCTACGGTTTTTGAAAAATTGGAACTAATCTAATCCGTTTAAATCATGGAACCAATCCGAACCAATCCGTTTAAATACGGATTGGATCGGTTTAGGATCACGGATTCACATAATTAAATAACAAAAATATATATATAACACTTTAATTTCATAAAAATATAAGCATAGCGCTATATTAGTTCCACAATAGCAATATGTTTTTTTTATAATAGCAACATACTGCTTTATAATTTAAATAACCATAAGAAAACTAGTTTCACCATAAGCATTTAGACCATTACAAATTAAAACTAAAAGCTAACAAACAAAAGTAATAAAAGAAGATATTATACGGTTTTAGGTTTGAGTTTAGATTTTATATAGAATAAGAGAAGATACTATGGGGGACGATGTATAATAAAAATATAGACTATTTGTATACGGTCCGGATCGGTTCTAATCCGGAACCGTGGGGTTCAATCCGGAACCAATCCGTGGACTACGGATTTTTAATTTTTCAATCCGAAACCAAACCGCGGATTCAAAAAACCAATCCAAACCTATCGAATTGGACTGGACTGGATCGGATTACGGATTTTACGGATTCCTTGCTCAGCCCTAGTCATGCTATCTTGGAGGGCTCTTGGTATTCTATCGTTGTTGCAAGATTTGAATCTAAAGGGTTGAGTTGAATCCATGCCTAACATGGTCTATATATGGAAGTGAAACATTATTGCAGCCAAGTGGTTGAGGCTATTTTTCAACTTAATTGCAGACCTGTACTAAAATTATCAAAATTTCATTTTGGCTGAGTTGGAATCCACGGCAATAATTGCATCGGAATTGTTCACTGAAGTAACATGTACAAAAAGAAAGCTACAGTAAGTGCTCTCTCTCTCTCTCATTATGTTGTCTGTTTCAGTTAGAAGTTAAAGTTGTCAATTCCATTGCAGAGGAATTGTATCAATGTGATATTTAAGCATATTTCTTCCCAAGGTGAGATTCCCAGTTGGTTAACAAGAAGAGTAGGGAATCCTCAATGTCTTTTACTGTTCCTTCTGTGCTAATCTGAATGTTTGTGTTTTCTATGTGCAGGTCATGTGAACTGAAGATGTGAACATCTGGCCTTTTGAAGTGTATGAGTGATGCTGATGTAGTTGAGAAGAGCAAAGGACTGCAATGGATGTATATTCCAGCATTCATAGGAAAGATTTTGAATCAGTTAATGGAAGATGATGATGAAGTGGATGCAGGAAAAGCTTTTTGGGTAAAGGAACTTGGAATTCGTGTTCTTGTGTGAGCCTAAAAAGCAATGGCAGCCAATACCACAGCAATGATCCTTGTCATCAAAATGTCATTGATTTATCAGCATATCAGATGAGGACAGAGGACTACTTCCTATGCAATCACAATTGATTTCATAGGGTTAGACTCTATTTTTGGATTTTAAGGCCTCGTTTGGGAACAGACTAATTTAGTAACTTTTTGGCTATTTGGCTAAAAAGGTAGGTAAAAAAAACTTGTATGTTTGGGATGACTTTTTGACTAATTACGAAAAGATGTGCAAAAAGTAGAGAGAAAAGAGAATCTTTGACTTTTTGGTATGGGTTGTTGGCTTTTTGGCTAATTTAGTAACTTTTTTGCTAATTGGCTAAAATAGCCTCTTGCCAAACGGGGCCTAAGTGTAATGAAAAGTTTAGTTAGTTGCCTTCCTTCAAAATGAATGCCAGGCTTTTACACTTGCTGCAGAACTATGGGCATAATAGAAGTGTCAAACATTAGTGTGAGACGAAGGTTTTTGATTGGTGATTTTTAGATATCTGTCTACTATGGTGAGCAAAGAAGAATTTTTTTTTTTCATTTTTGAGGACATTTCGACCCGCGCATAGATGCTTTTTCAACTCCTTTGAAGAAGGGTATGTATTCCCAGCCATATTGGGGCATATTATGATCTTGTTTTGAGAGTGAAGAGCAGAAATTTCAATGTTCGATTCATGAATATTTATTTGTTTGTATTTATTTGGTTGTTATATTCCATCTACTAGTTACTTATTTGTTTGTTTATTTGGTATGAACACACTACTATTTACTTTTTTGTTTATTTTGTAGAACAAGAAAAAGAAATGACAAAGAAAGCATCAGTGTTAAAGTAAACCAATATTTTGGCAAAAATTTGAATTCAAATAAGTCAGTTGAATTTGAATTGGTCAAAATTTTGATCAAAAGATTTTGCCCATAATCTTGTCTTAGAGAGCATTCGTAAGCTTCAGTCTCAGCCTAAGGTTCTAGGGCATATGCTCTCTAGGCTTTCTAATTAGAGGAAGTATAACAATCCCATTCTATATCGGAAGTTTGAATAGGTGATCTTGAATATATAAGTAGGATCGATGAATTCAAATAATATCATCCTGACTAATTTTTTTAAGTGAGTTGTTTTGTTTGTTACCCGTTGCACGACTGTGTGGGTTATTGTAACTAATTGAGATAGTTAGCTTGTTTCTAGTATATTGAGAGGTTTAACTTGGAACTTAGGCTATTTGTAGTTTTAATTGTATGTGCAGGTGAAAGGTCAGGCTATCTACATTTTCACATACATTACTTACTGTTGAGAGATGCTTTGACTTCTGGGTGCGGCCCTTTGGAGGTATTGAATGGGTTTAGACTTCTTTAGCAACATGTGGTTGTGGTGTGTGAGTTATTAAGATTAGAAAAATTTCCCCCTCAACCCACCCCCAACACACACACACGCACACACAAATACTAAAATAAATCTTGACATCAGATTTTGAGCCCGAATGTACTCCTGTATTATATATATATATATATATATGTATATATTTTTTTTAAAAAATAGATTGTAATGCAATTATAGTTATTAGCTCCATCTGTGTTTAGCATGGTTTGGGTGCAGCCAGGGAGTGTTGTGCGTGTACTTCATGGTTAGAGAGGAGGTCGGGTTGGGAAGAGGCATAAAAAGGAGTGGATTTTGCCACCTTTGTGTTTGAAGTGGATGATGTGGTTGGAGCGGAATCGGTGCATTTTTAGGGCGTGGATGACTCCGTGGTTTGTATGACGGTTCAGTTTCTAGTGATTCTGTATAGCTCGGTGATGGGAACTGTGTCTCCGAATTTGTTTGCTTTTGTGGATTTTATAGATGCCTTCGTTTTTTAGGTTTGGGTTTGTTGATAGTCTTGGATGTATTTATTAGCATCGGTTTGATGCTCGTTCCGTTATTTATCCAAAAAAAAAAAAAAAAAGTTACCAGCTCCATCTGATTCAAGCTTATATATTCTGAAAGAAATGGCCTTGAAAAATATGTGCAATTATACATAATTAATTAATCTTTGTTTGCAATGAGCTTTTTGTTTGCAGATGGCTACATGTTGTTGTGTTACAAGGTTTTTCAACTCTATTTTTGTGGTCTAAAGTCTGATGGTTGTCATTGTCCAAGTGGTCACAGTTTTCTTCTGTCCTGTATAGTATTAATTGTTTTTCTTCTTCATTATTTGTATAGTGTGGTTAGTCATTCCAGAAGTGATCACTTGATATCATTTGCCAAGAGTTGAGAACAAAAAATTTCCCCTTAATTTTTTTTCCCTTGAAGCTCCATTCAATGGCTGCTGAGGCCTTCTCTTCCAAATTTCGTTGTTCTTATCATGTGTACTTGAGTTTTTCCGAAGACACTTGCAAAAATTTTACAGATCACTTCTATACAGCATTGATTGGTGTAGGTTTTTGCACTTTTAGAAATGATGATGATGCTATGGAGAGAGGTGAACTGGAAAAAGTAATTAAGGAATCAAGGAGCTCCATAATTGTATTCTTAAAAGACTATGCTTCTTCGCGAAGGTGCCTTGATGAACTTGTGATGATCCTTGAGTGCAAGAGGAACTTCAAACATGTAATTTTACCAGTTTTCTATGGCATGGATCCACCCCAAGTTAGGAAGCAAACTGGCAGTGTTGTAGAAGCATTTGCAGGGCATGAAGCTCAATTTGAGGTGGAAATTGATGAAAGAAATAGAAAACTAGGGATGAAGAAGGTGAAAGGGTGGAGAGAAGCACTCGGACAAGTTGTAGATCTCGGAGGTTTGGTCTTGCAAAATCAAGTTGACGAGTAAATTTTGTTGGGAAAAATCCCATCTTAAGCTCTAATATTACTTGTTGAGAATGAATCTCTCAAAAACTCTAATATTGCATGATGAAATATGAATTCATGTGCCAGTGGAAGCATACCAAAATTAAATATGTGCACACATAAAAGAAACACAATTTATCGTGGTTCTGGCTCAATGCCTACATCCAAAGAAGCGAGATTATCCACTATATAGAATAGAGTACAATGATGAGATGAAAGTACCCATAACATGACATCATTACGCAGCGCAAGAGTAATTAAGTCTTTAAACGCTAGCCCCACAGATGCCCACTCACTATTGTATTTTACGTCTCATCTTCCTTATCTCTCACTAGGGATGGCAATTTGAAACCGACTCGACAGGACCCGATCCCCTGACCCAGATTTGAACGGTTTTTCCCCGAAAAATACCCCCGACGAGATGGGGATGATATTCAAAAATCAATCGTCGATCAATTTGGGGCCAGGGATAGTGATAAGTGTCCAAGCCCCAGCCCCGTTTGTTCCCGAAATGGTACATATATATATATATATATATATACACTTTTTGATTAGTTTCTCTCTCTCTCTCTCTCTCTCATTTATTTTTTCATTTTATATCTTCTCTCTCTTTTCCTCACCGTCTCTCGTTTCTCTCTCTCTCTCTCACTTACTCACTTAGAGAGAGAGAGAGCACCGAATCAGAGTCGCTGCGATGCCACGATGCCAGAGCACCGAATTTGATCTCTCTCTTTTTACTGTGATGCCAGAGCACCAAATCGATCTCTCTCTGTGCCGCGATGCCAAAGTCGATCTGAACAGATCAATCTCTCTTTCTCTACTTAGATCTAAGTAGATCTCTCTCTCTCTCTCTACTAAGATCTCTCTCCCTCTCTGTGATGTTGTTGATGTTGGTCAATGATGTTGTTGTTGATGATGCTGATGATATATATTTTTTTTTGATCGGATGTTGATGATGTTTGTTATTGATAATGTTGAGGATGTTGAATCGTTGCTGTTGCTGTTTAGGTTTTTTTTTTTTTTGGTTTGGGGAATTTTCGGGGTCGGGGAAACCCGGTCCTCGTTAAGGAGAGGGGACGGGGATGGTGATAAGTTCCTTATCGGGGATTGGGGCCAGGGACAGGGAAATGTTTACCATCGGGGATCGGGGATGGGGAGTGTAATCCTTGGTCCCGCCCTGCCCCGCCCCGCCCTGTTACCATTCCTACCCCTTACACCACTTACTCTGTCACACACTACAGAAACCCAACAAATTTCTGTTAGAATTTGTTACTAGCAACAATCCAAAATACTTTTACAACAATGAATGAGGCCTTGAATTGGATTTCTCCTTTGCAACTCATGCTCCACTCAAGCGGGGATTTGAGCGCATTCAAGCTAGGCCCTTGGAATTTTGGCTCAAGGTCATGTTTCTCACAAGTTTTCTGATACAACCATTCAGGAACAGGAAATTGTTTATAGGTAATTTTTTTTTTAAAAAAATTTAAACACATGTGTTTAAATTAGTGGACATGAATGAAAAAGGAGCACTATTGGTGGAAGCTCATAGCACGAGGTTTGCAGTCCACCCTGGCAATACAAAGATATATCACAATCTAAAGGAGCACTATTGGTGGACATGAACGAAAAAGGACATAGCGAGCCATGTTTCCAAATGCTTGGGATGTCAACAAGTTAAGGCGGAACATCAGAAACCAGCAGGATTACTATAACCACTTCCCATTCCTGAATGAAAATGAGAACACATTACTATTGATTTCGTTATCAGGCTACCACAGTTGGCCTCGAAGAATGATGCGATATGGGTTATAGTCGATTGATTGACAAAGTCGGTGCATTTTCTACCAGTCAGAGTCACGTACTCTCTCAATAAGTTCGCCACCTTATACATCAAGGAAATCATTTGATTGTATGGCACCCCAGTTTCAATCGTGTTTGACCGAGACCTTCGATTCGTCTCTCACTTCTGGAACACATTGCAAAAAGCTTTGGGAACTACACTAAAATTTAGTACCGTCTATCATCCGCAAACTGACGGACAATCCGAAAGGAAAATTCAGACCTTGGAAAACATGTTACGAGTATATGTACTAGACCTTAAAGGTAACTAGAATGAGCACTTACCTTTAGTGGAATATGCCTATAACAACAGTTACCAAGCAAGCATTGTAATGGCACCCTACGAAGCACTATATGGAAGGAAGTGTCAACCACCTCTGTATTGGATGGAAATTGGAGACAGAAAGTTACTGGGCCTTGAAATCATACAAATAACGCATGATAAAATTCAACTCATCCAACAGCGAATTCGTACTATCCAAAGCTGCCAGAAAAACTATGTAGACACATAGAGACAGGACTTAGAATTTCAAATAGGAGATCATGTTTTCCTAAAGATCTCACCAACAAGAGTGGTTATCCGATTTGGACAGCGAGAAAAGTTAAACCCATATTACATTGGGTCATTCAAGATAGTAGAAAGGATTAGTCCTGTGGCATATTGCCTTGTACTGCCACCGGAATTGTCCAATGTCCACAATGTGTTCCATGTTTCGATGCTTCGACGATATCTTTGAGATTTCGAGTATGTTTTCGATTATGAGAACTTGAAAGTTTAAGAAGATCTCTCTTATGAAGAAAGACCATTGCAAATTCTCAACCGGTGTGATCAGATTCTTCGAAACAAGATCATGCCTCTTGTAAAGGTCTTGTGGAGAAATCATCGAGTCAAAGAAGCAACATGGGGAGCTGAAAATCAAATGCGAGCCAAATACCCATACCTTTTCAGAAACCAAGGTACGTCAAGTTTGGGAACAAACTTCTATTTAGAGGGGAAGAAATGTGACACCCCAAATGTTTAATTAATTTTAACACCGCGCTAATATATTTAATTTAATAGTTATATGTTCTAAATGTAATTTAGTTTAAGTTAGTTGTAACACCCCAAAATATACACAATAAAAGTACACAAATTACTGCTCCTTACGGTAAACAGAAGTGAATCTCCAACACTTGCATACATGGTCATAAGAGATTTACAAAATAGTTACACATGCAAATATATATATATTCAATGAATTTGGTACATGAATCTATAGTATGTAAAACATCCAATCAAAAGTAATAAATGCCCTCAAAGGCTACAAAGTCCAAGGCTTAAGCCCAGTTACACAAAATGGTTGCTTGAACCTACACAAATATAGCCCTTGGCTTGCAAAAATATAATCACAACAAAAACAAGAGCCTTGTGCTCTCAACGTACACATCAACGCCCCTAGTTTGGAGGAGTCACCACATCTTTTCCTGCACAAAATCCTATAGGGTGAGCATAAAGCTCAGTAGGAAATTCTTAACAAAGTATATCATTTAGTATAAGTCTCATGAGATGAAATGCACATGTTAAACTATGCCAAAAAAAGAGTTGCATCTTCATCTTTTGTTAGCCATCATGCACAATGAAATTTTGAAATTTCGACAATTCAAAAATTTTAAATCAAGTTATGACTCAGGTAATTCCTAGGTTGGTGTTTGCAAGTAGGCATAACTAGCACTACCAAATCCCCACTTTACCGATAGCTAACCGGAAGACACATGATACCTCCTCCGCGCCTGTTTTCGGTCTTTCACCCTAGACACTCATGCCAACGTAATCAATTTTATCTACACCTCTTATTCGAACTTATCAACATATTTACCCCAAAAACAATTTAATGAGATCTTGTTTCACAAATATTTCTCAATGCAAAAGTTTTCAAATTTCAATTCAAAATTTGCAACAACCAAATGAATTGAATTGCCAATGCAACATATATTATTTCAATAAAATATTCTTCCATTTTCCAATTCTTTCACACAATTTTTTCATTGTGATCACAATTTCCATTTCTCTTTCCAATGCAATTTCACAACATAAACATATATTCATTTATATCTATCGAAGAGTAGCAACATTTCTACATTTCATGCATTCACAACAATTTAGTCATTTCATGACTATGCCCACATTTTTGAACAATAAACTTCAAAACCAACATTTTCTTATATTCCATGGAATTTCTCATTTATACACAATAATATGAAATTCCCAATCATTCATTCATTGAACACTATAATAAGTAAAAACCCATGAATTCTCAACATCTTTTCCAAAAAATCTCCATTTCTAGGTTTTCACCAAAGCTAGGCATTTCCTCATCTTTAAAATTAAAAAAAAAAAAAATCTCTCCAAAGAATTTTTTTTTTCACAATATAGTTCAAACTCCCAAGAATTTTTTCGAAAACTAAGCATAAACCCACTTTTAAAATCATCAACACTCTTGAGCCAAAAATCAAATTTCAATACTACCGAAGAGAGTTCCCAAAATCAACATAATTTTGCAAATATATATAACTCCAAGAAGATCTCTACCTCAAGTTTTAGAGAAGAAAAGAGGAAAAACCCCCAAATTTGACGGTGTTGAAAAGCAATCTCCATCACACAAAACGAAGCGCTCGGTTAGTTATCCAAACTTAATGAAGGGTGTTGGGTTAAAACTCCAATGGATTGGAAGAAATCAAGAGTTTATGGTGTTTGGTGGAGGTTTTTAGAAAGAAGGGAGAGGAAAATGTATTTTTAGAAAAAGAGAGAGATGTGTAAAAAGTGAGATACACTCAGCCCAAGAAGAAAGAAAAAGGTAGATTTTTGGACTCAGCGTTCTTCCGCACGTGCAGCAGCCATTCCCGCATGTGCGGCACTTACCCTACATGTGCGGTTCATCCCTTTGTACCTGACCTCTGCTCATGCAATAAAAGCAGTCTTGCACCATTGACCCTCTCTCCTTTCCACACGTGCGGCCTCTCCTTCCGCACGTGCGGTCCTCTTTCTGCATGTGCGACCCAAGCCCTCGCACATGCGATTCTGCCTCCCAGCCAGAAAATTCACCAACTTGACCCGTGACACCCCGGATCCAACCTCGTACCTTCCAAAACAAGTGAAACTTGACT